ATATTTTGTTAAGCTTTCAAGTGCTCCAGTTATAATCAACAAATCATTTGATGTCTCCTCAGGGGAAAGTTTTAAACACTGAGAGAAAGCTATAAATTGTTCTTTCTGCACCATGGTAAGAAGCACACGGGTGTTCAAACAGACTCTTTGCAGGTAATAAAATATTTCCGACAGTGTTGCTAATTTCCAAATATTTTAGTGACCTTTTAATGAATTCACTTTTAATTATTCTAAAATATGAAATATGAAGACTTTTGTTCCAGTTTTGTTCTTTCCACCATTATACTTGATTTATCAGAAGTGTGTAGTGCTATATATTCATGATAAATTTAAAACTATGAAGCTTAATTTCTATATTGTTGGCTTATAATTCACTCAGAGATAGCTCTGCTCACAATCAGGAATAGATATTTATTAGATATTAGATATTACATATTACATAATAGATATTATATAATAGATATTATACATAGAATATTGATATTATGCCATAAATATCAGCCTTCATATAGGATGTATGCTAGTGGGAAGAAGAATTTTATTAGGAATTATACATAAATGTGACACTGTCCCTCCACCCTACCAAGCATGATGTCCCTCTCCAAGGGACATGTCCCTCTCCATGTTAGATGGAGCCTCAGAATCCTTGCCTCCAAAGAGCTGCCTGGTTTGACCCTTTCCAGGATGAATCTGTTTGTTTTTCTAGTAGTCCATGGTAGCTTCAATACTCTTCTCCAAAACCACAGCTCAAAGGCATCAATTCTCCTTCTATCCTCCTTAGTCATTGTAGAATTATTTCTATCAACTTGATTACATATAACATCTTTCTAAAATCGAGAAAGAGATACACAATGTGGACAGTAAGACAATGGCAGATCTTCAAGAGGATGAATTCACATGTTTGCGATAACAGGGTTGAGCATGGCCAAGAGCATGAGGCTGGAGGATAGAGGGTCAAGGTTTCGATGGTCTCTTAGCATCTCTGTGAGTTGGAGTTGACTCAAGGGCACATGACAACAGTAACAGTGACCGCATAGTATTAAACCAATAATTCTGTTATCATAAAATGTGAAACTTTTCTTACGTACAAAATCAAATTAAAAACTTGATGATTTAGAGTCAGAACTTATTCATAGCTGTCCTTATAGTGGTTCTCAGAAACTGTAAATTACACAGAAGGAGATTGAACACCTTTTTTTGTGGGGCTACTGGAAGATTCAAAACAGCAGAGAAAGCATCATCTTTAGTAAGTTAATTTCCATGGACTATTCCAGTAGAGGTTCTTATTTATAAAATTCATGTGCTATATTGAGATGCATTTTTAAAGATTACGTTTACATTTACCTATGATATTGCATAACACATGAAAATTCTAATATTTAATATTTCATGGTCAGACAGACATAACATGATTTCAAATTTATATATAAATATATATCTCATCATTATTAAAATTTCTTTTTATCTTGTACTCTTCTGTCAAATGGAAAATTTACAAAAAAAAAACCCTGAAAATTTGGTAAGTGCCGTTGAGTTGACTACAACTTGTCTCATAGCAATCCTATGAACAGTAGATGTGAACCTTCCCTTACTTATCCTGTTCAATCTTCACACTCTCTAACATGCTCAAGTACACTGTTGGGGAACATCAATGAGGAGAAGAGGAATTCCAGAATACTTATTGTGCTCACTCAAGACCTGCATATTGACCAATAAGCATTGTTCAAACAGAACAAAGGAACATGGGAAAGTGTGCATCAATGTTGCATCCTTTCTCTATCTTGTTCAATCAGTATGCTGAGTAAATTAGTTGATAAACTGAGCTATATGAAGAAGAATGTGGCATCAAGATTGGAAGAAGAATCATCTAAAAGTAATGTAATGTAGATGACAGTACTTTGCAGAAAGTGAAAAAGACTTAAAACACTTCATGTAGAAGATCAAAGAAAGCATCCTTCAATATGGAATATATCTCAACAGAGAGCATTATGCTGAATGAACTAACTCAAGCTTAGAAGAACAAATACTGTATAAGATATTATTGTAAAAAGAAGAATGAATATCTAGTAAAATGAATAATAATATTCAAAGAGGGAAGGGAGAAGGCATGGAGGCTGAGGGTGGGAGTAAATCACAGGGTTGCAGAGTTTGGTGGGTGAGGGGTGGCGGTGAAAGAAATAGGAAAGATCCAGAGGGGATCTGAAAAGATGGGATATTAGTAGATGTAGTCAATTATGATTAATTTTATAAGGCAAAAGGTATGGGAATAATCATAAGAAACATGTGCATGAAAATAAGATCACATTTTAAAAAAATCTTTCCCATTGGACTAATAGAATCTACATCATAATCAATGGAGACAAGATTGAAATTATTATTTCATTTTACCTGAATCCCAGTCAACACCAATAGAAGCAACAGGAAAGAAATAAAAAACAAAAAAAAAACAAAAAAACAACAATGTGTTACATTGGGAAAATCTTCTGTCAAGGAACTTACCAAAAAAGTGAAGAGTAAGCATGTCAGCTTAAAGACCAAGGTAAGCCTAATTTGAGCCATGGAATTTTTAATTGCTTTGTGTTCATTGAAAAGTTGGACAATGAATATAGGTGAAAAAGGAAATAAAGTCTTTGAATTGTGGTAATGGAGAGGAGTAATGAATAGCCTATGGATTGCAAAAAAGGCAATTCTGCCTTGTAGGAAGTGCAGAGTCTCCTTAGAGGTACGAATGGGAAACACTGTCTCAACCAACTTAGGGTATACTGTCAGGAGGGGACAGTCCTCGAAAAAAGACACCACACTTGGAAAGGTGAAAAAAACAGAGAAAGCTAGAGATGCCAGCTTCTTGGAGATCAGAAGGATCGTTCCGGAAAGCCTAAGGTTCAAATCTCTATTTCCTAGGGTTGCTATGTGTCATAGTCAATTTGATTGACTAACAACAATTACAATCTTGAGGACTTCTTTTCAGATGCTGTATCAGATAATAGCCCCCTGTTATTTGTAAAGTTTTCAGGAACTCAATATTTCAGAAGTGATTGGCCAATTGTGTTTGTTTGTCTTAGTTTGGAAGTGTCATTGAAACCTGTCCACTATGGGTGACCCGGCTTGTGTTTGAAATACCAAGACGCAGTTGCCAGCATCACAGAAACTCTCCAGTTAGTAGGATGATTTACTGAAAGGTTAATGTTTTGAAGTATGTGGTTCAAATCTTTCCCATAAATGTTTAGATCTATGGAAAAGACAAGTTTTAAGAGAGGTGAAATAATCCAGAAGTTTAATATTTTCTATTTTTATTTCATCTATCATCTATCTATCTATCTATCTATCTATCTATCATCTATCTATCTGTCTATCATCTATCTGTGTGTATATCTATGTTGTTATATGCTGTCAAGTCAGAACCTACTCATAGCCTACTTTCTGGTGGGTTTTCAGAGGCCATGAATCACACAGATGGGCACTATTTTTCTCTCTTGGAGTAGCTGGTAGACTTCAACTGACTACCTTTGGGTTCTTTGTACTTTTGGCAGTACATGGGATATTCAGTACTCTTCTTCAATACCACACCTCAAAGTCATCAGTTCTTTAATTCTTATTCTGTCATCCTTATTTATTGTCCAACTTTCAAATGCATAGCAAATTACTGGAAAGGACATTGCTTGAATTAGATGCACCTTACTCCTCAAACTGACATCACTGATCCTCAATAATTTGGAGATGTCCCTGACTGCAGATTTCCCCAGTGCAATACATCTCCTAATTTCCTGATTGTTTTTACCAAGGGTTATGGATCCAAATAAGGTGATGTCATTGACTACTATTTTGTTTTCATGGCAATACTCCTAGCATATCCCATGGACTGTCAAAAGGAAAAAACATGACTTTGAGAAAATGAAGACAGAGTGCTCCTTAGAGGAAGAGTTGATGAAAATGTGTCTCACATACTTAAAGCATGCTTCTAAGAAGGGTTACTCTTTGGAAAGGGGGTCAGTGAAAGAGAGGAAGACCCTCAACCAGATATATTGACACAGTGATGGCTGCAATGGTCTCTAGTTTGTCAACAAGTGTAAGGATGGCATAGGATAGGACAGGGTTCAGGACTGCTGTTAATATGATCACTATGGGTCATATTCAATACTACCTTTGGGTTGACAGGGCAATTCCTTTCCAGTATACCATACCACCAGAACTCCGTGTGTGTGTGTGTGTGTGTGTGTGTGTGTGTGTGTGTAAGTACGTACACTCTCCTAGGAGAGCATGAATATTCATGTCTTTGGATATTTTTTGCTGCCGTTCATGTGTTTTTGTGTAAAGATATAGGAAGGTAAGTTTACACTTCTTTTTGTTGTTGTTAAGTGCCATCAAGTTGTAGACGATTCATAGCGACCCTGTGAACAAAAGACCTGAACACTTGTATAACTTTAATTGTTTCTCCAAGTTCATAGAGCTTCTGGAGACAAGTTATTTTGGAATTGGATGCCACTCCTGCTTCCAAGCTTGTTTTAATCAGGGAGTTCCACCAAACACTGTCCACCGTGGGTAACCACTCACTATTACATTTGACACATCAGTGTCACAGTGTTCAGCAATATAGCAACCACGAGTTGCATCTGCACAGCAAAGGGACAGACCAGGACTTAGGAGAAAGTTTTACCAAACCCCGTTAAAACCAGGTCTGAGGGCTGCAAATGAAAATCACCCACCTTTGGCTTGGTAGCATAACTTTCTATCCTGTAGTCCACCAGTGCTCTTTCTATGTTGTTTTGTTAAGTGCCCTTGAGTTGTAGACAACTCATAACGACCGTATGAGCGAAAGACCTGAACACTTGTACAACTTGCATCATTTCTCCAAGTTTCTAGACTTAACTATCCTTAATTAGAAGGTTTGAGCTTATATAATGAATATGTTGCTGAATATTAAGACCTAAGTGATAATATAGCATAAAAGGTCTTGATTATGATAATGTCTCTATCCAGAATAGGTTTACTTCTTGATCTAGATGGACAAGCAAAATACAACTGCGCTGAATGAGTTCGTTCTGATGGGGATTACAGACCGCCCTGAGCTGCAGGCCCCTTTGTTTGGGCTGTTCCTCATCATCTATTCAATCTCAACAGTCGGCAACGTGGGCATGGTCATCCTCACCAAAGTGGACACTAAACTACAAACACCCATGTACTTTTTCCTCAGACACTTAGCTCTCACTGATCTTGGTTACTCAACAACCGTGGGACCCAAAATGTTGGTAAATTTTGTTGTGGCAAAAAACACCATTTCTTATTATTCTTGTGCTATCCAGCTAACATTCTTTGTCATGTTCATCACTAGTGAGCTTTTTATTCTGTCGGCTATGTCCTATGACCGCTATGTGGCTATCTGCAATCCTTTACTCTACATGGTTGTCATGTCACAAAAGGTGTGTGGAGTGCTTGTGGTGATCAACTATCTTTACAGCACGTTTGTTTCTCTTCTGGTGGCCATAAATATTTTTAACTTACCTTTCTGCGGCTACATCATTCGTCATTTCTATTGTGATGGTCTCCCTTTGTTATCTTTGCTGTGCTCAAAGACTCATGAAATTGAATTGATCATTCTCATCTTAGCAACGTTTGACTTGATTTCATCCCTCCTGCTAGTTCTTGTATCTTACCTACTAATTCTTGTAACCATCCTCCGGATGAATTCAGCTGAGGGCAGGCGCAAGGCCTTCTCTACCTGTGCATCCCACCTGATGGTGGTTGTAGTATTCTACGGGACTTTAATATTCATGTATGTGCAGCCCAATTTCAGTCGTTCCTTTGACACTGACAAAATGGCATCTATATTTTACACCTTAGTTATCCCCATGCTGAACCCCTTGATCTATAGTCTGAGGAACAGAGATGTAAAATATGCATTGTATAGGATTTGGGGGAAAATATGTAACAAACATTCTCAAAGTTCACTATATGATTAATATAAATTACACTGTGGGCTTTAAACTTTTGTGAGTGTGCTCTGAGATGAGATAGTAAGCACAAATATATTCCACATTCTATAATACCTATTACATATTAGTCACACCTCTATGTGTGGTACACATAATAATAAATAAAACATTTAAAAATGGACTTCATTGAGCATAAAAAAGGAATGTTAAAGCGTAAGAAATCTCATGGTATACTTAGAATGTGTTTGAAGAAATGGAGTTTTAAAAATAAAGAATAAAAATAAATGTGTTGAATGAGAAAGGGATACAGTAATATCTTAGAGGAATTGGAAGCCCAATGTTTATTTTCCCCAACTTATCAGAAGCTTTGAAATGTGTAGATGCATGTGAGCTCTTGTTTTGTCTATATTGCTATATTTTAAGAAAGTAGTTTATTTTTATTGTAAGATAACTTCCAGTACCTAGTCTAAATTTGTTCTAATGCTCCATTCTCAAACTATAATCTTCAGTAACTATATTTGTATGCTGCTGGGTACTGTTGAGTCAGAAATGACTCATGGCTGACCCTTCAGTGGGTTTTCAGAGGCAGTAAATAACACAGAAGATAATTCTTCCTTTTCCTATGGAGAAGCATATAGATTGAAAAAGTGTGGAGACAGAACACCTCCCAATTCACTTCTTTCCTGATTTTGAACCATACAGTATTTCCTTTCCCTGTTCTGATGACTGTTTCCTGGCCCATGTATGGGTTTTGCACGAGCACAATCTAGTGTTCTAAGATTCTCATTCTTCTCAAGGTTAGCCACAATTTGTCATGATCCACACAGTCAAATGCCTTTGTATAGTTAATGAAACACAATATCTAGAAAAGCCTTTTTAATGATTCTGGCACTTCAGACCACATCCTGGCTTTTCTAGTCATTATCTCTCATTGTTTGAAGGATCAATATTCCTTTAC